CCTCAAGAAACAAGAAAAATTTCAAATAAACAATCTAACCTTACACCTAAAGAAACTAGGAAAAGAAAACAAAGCCCAATGTTACCAGAAAGAAAGAAATGATAGAGATCAGAGCAGAAATAAATGAAAAAGAGACTAAAAAATTACTAGAAAAGATAAATGAAACTAAGAGTGATTCTTTGAAAAAATTGCAGGAGACATAAGAGACACAGGTTTGATTCCTGGGTCAGGAAGATCCCCTGGAGGAGGGCATGGCAATCAACTCCAGTATTCTTGCCTGGAGAATCCCATGGATGGAGGAGCCAGGTGTGCTATAGTCCATAGGGTCACAAAGAGTAGGGACACAACTGAAGTGACTTAGCACACACACGCAGTATCTATTTATGATACAGTCTCCAAAAAGTGGGTGCAGCAGGAATATACCTCAACAAAATAAAGGCCATATGATGAGCTCATAGCTTAACAGCATACACAACAATGAAAAGCTGAAATCATTTCCTCTAAGATCAGGAACAAGACAAGGATGCCTAGTCTTGGCACTTTTATTCAATATAGTATTGGCAGTTGTAGCCTCAACGATTAGATAAGAAAAAGAAATAAAAATCCAAATTGGAAAGGAAGAAGCAAAACTTTCACTGTTTGCAGATGACATGATACATAGAAAACCCTCAAGACACCACCAAAAATTACTAAAGCTCATCAATGAATTCAGTTGTACGATACAAAGTTAATATTAAAAAATCTGTTGAAATTCTATACACTAACAACAAACTATCAGAAAGAGAAATTAAGAAAAAAATTCCATTTACAACCACATGAAAAAGAATAAAATATCTAGGAATAAATTTAACTAAAAAAAAAAAAGAAAACCCAATGTGATTAAAAAATGGGCAGAAGACCTGAGTAGACACTTTTGCCAAGAAAACACCATGCTGGCCAACAGTCACACAAAAAGATTCTCAATGTCACTAATCATCAGGTACATGCAAATCGAAACCACAATGAGATATCACCACCACACACCTGAAAAGCTATTATCAAAAACACAACAAATAACAAGTGCTGCTAAGGATACAGAGAAAAGGGAACCTTCACACACTTCATACACAACATAGACTTTTAAGTCAAAATCTGTCCTAAGAGACAAGGAAGGACATTAATTAATTCACCAAGAAGATAAAACATTTATAAACATATATGTACCAAACATCAGAGCTCCCAATGTGTGAAGCAATAATTTCTTATTGGCAAAATTAAAGGGAGAAATAGATTTAAAAAGATAGAAGAAAACTTCAAAACCCCCTTTCAATAATGGATAGAACAGCAAGATAGAAGATCAATAAGGAAATGGAAGCCTTGAATAACACTAGAGACCAATTAGACCTAGCAGACAAATACAAAAATGTGTTACTGAACAATAGCTCTCAAGTGCATATGGAATATTCTCTGGGGTAGATGATAGGTAAGGCTGCCACAAACAAGTCCTAATAAAATGTAAAGACTGAAACCATGCTGCTGCTGCGCTTCAGTCATGTCCAACTCTGTGCAACCCCATAGATGGCAGCCCACCAGTCTCCCCCGTCCCTGGTATTCTCCAGGCAAGAACACTGGAGTGGCTTGCCATTTCCTTGTCCAATGCATGAAAGTGAAAAGTGAAAGTGAAGTTGCTCAGTCGTGTCCAACTCTTAGCGACCCCATGGACTGCAGCCTACAAGGCTCCTCCATCCATGGGATTTGCCAGGGAGACTGAAACCATACAAAGCATCTATTCTAATCATAATGGATAAAACTAAAGAAATCAATAGCAAGAAGAACTGGAAGCTCCACAAGTATGTGGAATTTACACAGTACATCCTTAAACAACCAATGGGTCAAAGAAATCACACGCAAAGTTAGAAAATACCTTGAGATAAATGAAAATGAAAACACAACATATGAAAACTTACAAGATGCAGCAAAAGTAATGCTGAGATAAATTTATAGTTGTAAATTTTTAATTAAAAAACATTAAGTCAGTAACCTAACTTTACACCTTAAAAAACTAGAAAAAGAATGACAAACTAAACCTAGAGCAAAAGCAATAATGAAGATTAGAGCAGAAATAAAATTTAGAATAGAAAAAAAAATAGCAAAACAAAGAGTTGGATCATTGAAAAGATCAACAAAATGAACTTTAGTTAGACTGACTAAAAAAAAAAAGACTAAATAACTAAAATCAGATATCAAGGAAGGGATATTACTATTAACTTTACAGAAATAAAAACAATTATGAGGGAGTACTATGAACTGTATGTCAAAACAGGATAACCTAGATAAAAATGGACAAATTCCTAGAAACACAATGGGCCAAAATAGAAATATGAAAAAACAGAAATATAAATAGACCTGTAATTAGTAAAGAGATTGAAATGGTAATTTATAAAAAACCACCCAACAAAGAAAAGCCCATGACAAGATGGCTTCACTGGTGAATTCTATCAAACATGAAAACAATTAACATGAGTCCTCCTCAAATGATTCCAAAGTAAACTGAAGAAGAGGGAATACTTCCAAACTCCAAATTCTGAGGCCAGCATTATCTTGATGCCAAAAACAGAGAAAGATTGTACAGGACAAGAAAAACTACAGACCAATATCCTTGAAGTATACAGATTCAAAAATTCTCAACAAACAAGGGGTGGGGTACGGGTGAAGTGAAGGTGAAGTCGCTCAGTCATGTCCGAATCTGTGACTCCATGGACTGTAGCCCACCAGGCTCCTCAGTGCGTGGGATTTTCCAGGCAAGAGTACTGGAGTGGGTTGCCATTTCCTTCTCCAGGGGATCTTCCTGCCCCAGGGACCAAACCTGGGTCTCCTGCATTGTAGGTAGACTCTTTCACCATCTGAGCCACCAGGGAAGTCCTTATAATGAGTTTTATTATAAAGGATTCAAATGAGGATCAACCAAATGGAGACACATGGAAGATGCAGTAAGGTCTGGGAGGAAACGCAGAGCTTCTTTACCCTTTCTTTGTGGAATCAAGGCACATCACCATTGCGGCACATCACCATTGCATCGCATCAGAGTTCACTAGTCAGGAAGCTCCACTGAGCCTCAGTGTCTCGAGTTTTTAACTGAGGCTTCATTATTTGGGCACGACTGATTACAACATGGGGCATTACAACTAGGTCAGGTCAATCTCCAGGGTCCCCACCCACCCACCATGGGGCCTGCCCCAAATTCCAACCCTCTGTGTGGCAGGTCCTTTCTGGTGACCAGCCCCCATCCTAGTTATCCAGGGGTCTACCATGACTCGCCTCACTGGCAACACAAAGACATTCCTAGTACCCAGGAAATCCCAAGGGTCTTAAGAAGCACACGGTGAGGAACAAGGATGGAGGCCAAACCATACCAGAGTTGGAAGGTTGAACTTTGAAGGGTCAAACCACTGTAACAGCTGCAATGTTTCTTCACTCACCAAGAACCAATTTTCACCCCGGTAGAGAATGCACCCCGAAGACAATGAAGAGACAGCCCCACAAAACCAGAATGGATTGAAGGGGATCAAAAGGTACAAATTTCCAGGATAGTTAAGTCATAGGGATGTAATGTACAGCAAGTGCACCAACTGTAGTTAATAATACTGTATTGCACATTTTAAAGTTGCTAAGGGAGTACATTTTATAAGTTTTCATCACAAGAAAAAAATCTGAACTATGTATGGTGATGGATATTAACTAGACTTATTGCAGTGATTTTACAATATAAAGACTGAATCATGTTGTACACATGAAACTAATAGAATGTTGCATGTCAATTATATATCAATGAGAACAAAAAAACACTGCTTCAGACTGTAATATTAAAAAATCTATTTGAAAATAACCTTTAATTGTAGTAATTCACCCCTCTACACTGCCCCCCCCATTGTCACAATTCAGTTTAAGGAAGTATAGCAATTCTTTTTTTTTTCCTTTTTTTGTGTGTTTCCCTCCCCCCACCCCCTACAAATTCCAGAAGTATAGCAATTCTTTAGAGTGAAAATTATTAGTGATTATCATTAGGGTGAAATTATCATTTCTAATTATTTCCAAGATTATAAATTTCCTGAAATTGGGTTCATACTTTCTACACTTATAGATTCCCTATATCATTAAGTATCATGCTCTAAACATTAATGTTTGTTAAATTCAATTTTTGCATAAGCTGATAGCCTTTTATTTTCACTCTAAGAAAATAAAATTTATTAAGCTAAAAAGATAGTCTCTTTGAATTATTTACAAAAGTGTATTATGACTAAGAAAAAAAGCTCTTAGCAATAAAAAAGTTATATAGATACTAAATAATTATCTCAACTTTCACTTTAGTTAAGAGATAACTTTATATATGGATAAACTGTATATATTACCACATTTTCAAAAATAAAGAACTTGTATCAATTTGAATGTTAAAACAGAGTAATTAGAGATTGCCCTTAAAATTCTAAATTGTCTCTATTACAGACATTTGGTTAATAAACCCTTTATTCTTACCAGTAGAGGAGGGTAACAGTCAACATGTTATAATAATTCTCTTGCCACGTATAATACCATTGTGTATTGCACCAACATAAGCAGTTGAATTAGGCCACACTGCCAGAATAGCTATAAAAGTAATGCTAACTTTAGAGTTAAAACACAAGTTGCTTTTTGTTAGGTAAGAACTATCAATGAGCAGTCAGAGCAGGGCCATCGTCCAGGAATCATATGACTCAGCATACAATATAAACAAGAGTGTACGTTCATTAGGCATCACAGGTACTCAATGCTTCCAACAGTTAAAACAAGAGAGTATTCGATTAATACAGAGGTAAACAAAAATTTTAATCACCTTGTGACTAATGTTAATGACAGCAACAAAATCATGGTGTTTTCTCTGGTAAATGTTTTTTTTTTTTAAAAAAAAACCTCAACAAAATCTTAGCCAACAAAACTCAATAGTACATAAAAGAATTATGTACTTTATGGTTCAAAACACTAATATCAATAAGTGTAATACATCACATTAACAAAACAAAGGGTAAAAACCACATGACCATCTTAACTGATGCAGAAAAAGTATTTGACAAAATTCAACATCTTTTCATGATAAAAAAACATTCAACAAACTGAACGGCAGGAAACTATAACAAGATAATAAAGGCCATACATGACAAGCCCACAGATAACATCATACTCTGTGGTGGAAAACTGAAAGCTCTTCCTCTAAGATCAGGAGAAATTAAGGATGCCCATTGAAAAAATATTTATTGGATTGACTGATGTGGCTGCTTCTGGTCTTAGTGGCAGCAGGCAGGATCTTTCGTTGTAGTGCACAGGCTATTTGTCGTGCCCAGGCTTTGTTGCTCTGTGGCATGTGAGGTCTTAGCTCCCCGACCAGCAATCAACCCCACATCCCTTGCATTGCAGGCGGATTCTTAACAACTGGACCACCAGGGAAGTCCCAGGATGCCTGATTTTGAGACTTCTAATCAAACAGTACTAGAAGTCCTAGCCAGAGCAATTACCTAAGAGAAAAAAAAGTAAACCAAATTGGAAATAAACAAAATCTATTGGTAGACATAATCTTATATGTAGATGTGCCAAAAGAATACACCCCACACCCACACATGTTAGAATTAACAAATTTAGCAAAGCTGAGTGATATAAAATTAATATGTAAAAATCTGTTGTATTTCTACATGCTAACAATGAAAAACCCTAAAAGGGAATTAATAAAACAATTCCATTTACAACTGCATCAAAAAGAATAAAATACTTAGGACTAAAGTTAACCAAGGAGGTGAAAGAAAGACTTGTGCACTGGAAACTACACAAAGTTGATGAAAGAAGTTACAGAAAACAACATACAGAAAGACGTTATGTGTCTGTCCATAAATTGGAAGATTCTTAAGATGTCAATACTACCCAAAGTGACCTACCAAACCAATACAATCTCTATCAAAACCCCAATGATGTTGATTACAGAAAAATATAGTTCATTCTAAAATTCAAACAAAATTTCAAATGACCCCCAAATAGCCAAAACAGTCTAAAAAAAAGAATTAAGTACAAGGACCCACACTTTCTGATTTAAAATTTTAATACAAAGCTACAGTAGTCAAAGCAGTGTACTGGCACAAAGACAGGCATACTGCTAAGAGTCCAGAAAAAGACATAATAGACACACTTGGTCAAATAATTGTTGACAAGGGTGCCAAGATCATTCAATGGGAATGGACAATATTTCTAACAAATGGTGTTTTAAAAACTAGATATTCACATGTCAAAAAAAAGGTGTATGCTTACCTTAAATCAAATGCAAGTTAACTCAAAATGGATCAAAGACCTAAATACAAGAGATAGAACTCTTAAAAAAAATGTACGAAAACCTTCATGACATCGGATCCGTCAATTATTTCTCGGACACCACAGAAGAGCAAGCAATTAAAGAGGAAACAAATAAACTGAACTACATCAAAATTAAAATCAATTATGTGTCAGAGGGTACAACAGTGAAAATGCAAGCCAAGAAATAGGAAAAAAAAAAAAAGCAAATCTAATCAAGTTACCCAGAATACATAGAGAACTCTGACAACTCAACAAGGAAAAACTTACTTTTAAAATGGCAAAGGATCTGAACAGACATTTCTTCAAAGAAGATATCCAAAGCCCCAAAAGAATACAAATGTTCAGTATCACTAATTATTCAGTTCAGTTCAGTTCAGTCGCTCTGTCGTGTCCTACTCTTTGCAACCCCATGAATGGCAGCACGACAGGCCTCCCTCTCCATCACCAATTCCTGGAGTTTACTCACACTCATGTCCATTGAGTCGGTGATGCCATCCAGCCATCTCATCCTCTGTCGTCCCCTTCTCCTCCTGCCCCTAGTCCCTCCCAGCATCAGGGTCTTTTCCAATGAGTCAACTCCTCGCATCAGGTGGTCAAAGTACTGGAGTTTCAGCTTCAGCGTCAGTCCTTCCAATGAACACCCAGGACTGATCTCCTTTAGGATGGACTGGTTGGATCTCCCTGCAGTCCAAGGTACTCTCAAGAGTCTTCTCCAACACCACAGTTCAAAAGCATCAATTTTTGGCACTCAGCTTTCTTCACATAGGGAAATACAAATCAAAACTACAATATAATACAATCTCACATCTATTAGAAAGGCTACTATCAAAAAAACAGAAAATAAGTGTTGGTGAGGATGTGGACAAGTTGGTCCTGTTGGTGAGAATGCAAAATGATATAGCCATTATGGAAAACAGCATGGCAGTTCTTCAAAAAATTAAACAGAATTACCTACCATATGATCCACCATTTCCACTTCTGGGTATATACTTGAAAAAATTGTAAGTAGGGTCTCAAAAGAAGTATTTGTATACCCATGTTCATGGCAGTATTATTCACAATGGCCAAAAGGTAGAAGCAACCCAAGTATCTGTCAACAAAATGGATTGACAAAAAGTGGTATATACAGACAATAGATTATTATTCAACCTTAAAATGAATGGTACAACATGGATGAACCTTGAGAACAGTATGCTAAGTGATCAAGTCAAAAAAAGTAATGTATGATTCCACTTACATGAGATACCCAGAGCAGCCAAAATTGGAGACAAAGTGGAATGGCGCTTGCCAGGCTAAGGGGAGAGGGGAGAAAGTAGTGACTGTCCAAAGGGTAGTTTCAGTTTTGCAAGCTGAGATTTCTGGAGATGGGAAGTAGTGATTGTTGCACAACAAAGTGAATACTGTATTGCCACCAACTGCATACTTAAAAACTGTCCTCTATGATGGCAAATTTTATGGGTATTTTACATATTCATACACAATTTCCCCACATTAAAATTAATCAACAATTAAAACTTTTGTTAACTAAAAAAATAAATGTGATTCTGCATCACTGCATCCATGTGGTCAAAGTTACCACCACCAACACCGGGACAAACTAAAGGTCCTTGTTTTGGAAAGAAATATGCTTAAGTATTTGGGGATCAAGAGGCAAGCTGTAAGCAAGTTACACTTCTGTGATAAAGCAAATGTGGCAGAACGTTAACACTTGCTGTACAGTGGTGAAATGTATATGGGGTTTATTTTACCATTCTTGCAACATTATTGTAAATTGGAACTATTTCCAATTTTAAAAACAAGGCTATTCTTGGCCAGTTTTGAAACTAAAATAAACCATGCAGCAATGGCCATTTATACAGAAAGTAGTATTTTTTTGACATTTAAAATTTCTCAAGTATGATTATTACATTAACACCTGGCACCATCACAAATTTTAACCCCATGGAGGTGAAATTTTTAGATGACTGGGACTTACCACTTTAAATGCTAGAATGGTGCATCAATAGCTTTCAAGTCTTTTTAAAGTGCTACTTTACTTTTCTTGTTTAGAATTTTTAATATCAAGGTCATCAACATCTGCTTCAGTACATGGCTGTCCTTGTTCTCACAAGTGTTTCTGAGAGTATGATACAAAAATGATGCTGCAGGTAATAACTGTTCTTCCATCTTCACCTAGTGGTTAGTTATTACCTCTATCTTTACCTACCTTCTTTTTACAATGTTCACATTTGTACTTTTAAATTTATTGAAAGTAAGGGTAAAGAGATCCTGAGAGATTCTTTTATAAGTGCACAAACTTCGTATTTTGGTTGTTCAAAGACTTTTATCAACAATCTCATGTGTTTCTGAATATCAACAGTCAAATAACCCTTCCCCAATTTGTAACATGAGATTTCTATAATTAAAATCAATTATTTATTCTTGGATTTAGTCATCTTGATTAATGAGATTTCTCACAAATAAGTCTGCAGAGACTATAAAAATGACTTTAAAGTTCACAAAAATAGAACTATACAGCTGTAAGTTATATTATTCCCTATCTCAATTGCCTGGTTGCTCATCAGCAATTATAGCAATTTTCAATTGTGTCCATGTCTCCTCTTAGATAGTACTTCTTAACCTTTTTTCAAATTGTAGGACCCACCCCCACCCCCGCCCTCCCAAGGAGCAAACAAATTTAAACTAACTGAAATCAAGTCATTAAAAATTTCCTTAACAAGAGAGATACTAAGATGACTTTGTCAGTATTTTGTTTCAACTCCCACTAAGATATTGCCATTTGATTCTGACACTGACCACCTGGAGTCAGAATCAGACTCCACAGGTTTAGGGTCTGTCCTCCACACACTACCTACATTTGAGATGATGTCTGAAAGTGGAGTCCCTCCCAACGTCTGACTACTTACAAATCTGGGAGTTCCCATAATTTCCTCATTTTCAAGAATTTGCCAAAATGATTCCCAGAACTCTGGAAAGCACTGACCTTATAATTGGAAGTGAAAGTGAAGGTGAAGTCGCTCAGTCATGTCCGAATCTGTGACTCCATGGACTGTAGCCCACCAGGCTCCTCAGTGCATGGGATTTTCCAGGCAAGAGTACTGGAGTGGGTTGCCATTTCCTTCTCCAGGGGATCTTCCTGCCCCAGGGATCGAACCTGGGTCTCCCGCATTGTAGGTAGACTCTTTCACCATCTGAGCCACCAGGGAAGTCCTTATAATGAGTTTTATTATAAAGGATTCAAATGAGGATCAACCAAATGAAGACACATGGAAGATTCGGTAAGGTCTGGGAGGAAACGCAGAGCTTCTTTACCCTTTCTTTGTGGAATCAAGGCACTTCACCATTGCATCACATCAGAGTTCACTAGTCAGGAAGCTCCACTGAGCCTCAGTGTCTCAAGTTTTTAACTGAGGCTTCATTATTTGGGCACTACTGATTACTGATTACACTACTGATGGGGCATTACAACTAGGTCAGGTCAATCTCCAGGGTCCCCACCCACCCACCATGGGGCCTGCCCCAAATTCCAACCCTCTGTGTGGCAGGTCCTTTCTGGTGACCAGCCCCCATCCTAGTTATCCAGGGGTCTACCATGACTCGCCTCATTGGCAACACAAAGACATTCCTAGTACCCAGGAAATCCCAAGGGTCTTAAGAAGCACACGGTGAGGAACAAGGATGGAGGCCAAACCATACCAGAGTTGGAAGGTTGAATTTATTTTTATTAGTTGGAGGCTAATTACTTTACATCATTGCAGTGGTTTTTGTCATACATTGAAATGAATTATCCATGGATTTACATGTATTCCCCATCCCGGTCCCCCCTCCCACCTCCCTATCCACCCGATCCCTCTGCATCATCTTTCTCCAAAGAGTCCATTGCGCATTTCTTAAGAGTAGTGATGGGGAACCTCCCAGGCAGTCACAAGGGCATTTTATTGCCCTCGATGCTGATTTTTACTGCATGTGCAGATCTGCTCTTTTCCCTGATGCCTGTGAACTTTCTCATCTGTTTATCCAGTCGACTGATACCCTTCTTGGAGGTCCCCTGAAACTAACAGTGGGGTAAAAATTAAACAGCAAATTACTGATACATACATACATTTAGTTTTGTCTTTCATCTTCTTTTATCTGAAAGTCAGCAGACTGAAGTGTTCCCAGCTCTGGAATAACCAGAATAAGCTTTGGTGACTTCAGGAACCACAGAGCAAGTATACAGAGCAGTGTCAGAAATGCATATTAAGCTCTCTCAGAGAAGAATAATTTTGTAGTTATCTGTGCCGTATTTTTAAATTTCGCCTCAAGTTCACAGAAATTTGCTAGGTGAGAGAAACGGGGGAGGAATGAAACTAATTCATCAGATTACATTTTGACTGTATGCTTTTCCCTTTCAAAGACGGCATATGGAGGTGACCATTTGACATATACAAGTTCAAACAGTGTTGGCATAAGAAATTATGATCTTCTAAGGCAAGGAAAGTCATCGACAAAAAACCCTAAGCGTAACGAATGAGATCAGAACTGCTAAGTGCTTGCTGGAGCTCTAGTTTCAGATTAGAAATAGTCAGGGTTCTATAACCCTGTGCAAATGATGCCCCTTGTCTGAATGACTTTTGGGACTGCTGGGAGAAGTGAATCAGGTAATAATAACAAATACAAGCACACAATCAGGACTCAAAATAAACATCAGCTACTACTACTATTACTACTACTTTGCAATCAGTTTGACACAAAAAGAAAAGTAAATTAAGTATCTTGATCCAAGGGGCTTACTACTTCTTGCATTCTCTTTCTACTTGCCCTTTTATGGTTAAAGATTTGTTGTTAGGTAACTTTTTCTATATTTTGAAAAGATTGTGGTCTCCAAGAAGTTGACACCTTTAAGAAACGCTGAAAAGGTCTGCCATTTATGTTGGATCAGGGCAAACATCTCTTGTTTGCTATAGTAATGCCAGCAATCCCAATCTTCATGAATGCTGAGTAGTTAAAAAAAGATGAGGTCTTTTAGTTCTTTTCCCCAGAAATTTACTACTGAATCACCTGTGAAGCTTAATTCAAAGAATGCTAAAATAAGGTAGAGACTAGGAGATACTTTAGGACTGGTACTAGTGTGGTGAAGTTCTTTTGAGTTGGGGAACCCCTCCTAGTCTTATCTCACCTTTAGATTCAGCTTCTATCTCAGATATAAGCAAGGATCTCTAATAAATCATTCTTGAATAAGAGCTACATTGATATCCATCCTAGATTTTCTATGTACATCCCAATTACAAATATTATATTAACATCAATTTTAGTATTTGGCACTAGCCCTGTGAGGGGGTGTAAAAATTCATTATCAGATGAGAAAGAGCTATCACTGTATGCAATACCCCAGATTTCTGGACAGTCCCAAGTATCTGACTTCCTTTCAGACAATGTGCCCTGATTTTCAGTATATGCAGTCAGTGCACACTGGAAGATTTACCTGCTCAGACCTCTGCCCACTGCCCAACCCCCAGCAGCTTTACACATCAGCCTGGACTTCTTATCCCCTCCCAGCACATTGTGTAAGAATTTGAGCCCTCTAACCTCAGCAACTGGGACACGCCAAGGCTGCACTGATCTACCCCTCATTATAGATCATAAGATCCGTAGCTGGCAAATGCCTGGTTACCCCAAGTCTGAAAATACACAAAACTGAGTACCTAGCATGTCAAATTCAATAACTTCTCTCTTGATTTCTTAACCCTACACCCTAGGACAGTAAAACTGAATTGCTGCACCACTTTATCAGTGAAAAATCAAAAGTAGCCTAAAAGATTAGCAAGATGGGTTTGCTTTAAAAAATATGGTACAATCATATTATAATACAATATTTAGTCACTGAAGAATGTTTACTCAAATGAATTTTTACCATGTTAAGTAAAACACAAACCTAACAAGGTATAAAAGAAAATGATCATAATTTTGCTTAAAAGTTAAAACACTACCACCACAACAAAAGAAACTCCAAACCAGTAATAATATGTTTATGCACACATATATAAAGGATTAAAGAAATAACCCAGAATGTTAATATAAGGTGTGGTGGGATTACAAGTGACACTAAGTTTATTTGTGCTTTTTGTATTTAAAGATTTATATAAAAACATGCACTGCTTTGTCATTTAAATGTTATTTCAAAAGCATTCCATGGAATAAATTAGCATAGAAACATACAATGTAGTGCAGGTTATTGATTTAGAAGTGAAAAATCAGAAACCATAGAAGAATGAACAAATTATTAATATATTTTTACATGATAGGCTTATGCAGCCATTACAAATGATAAATATATAAGGTGGTTTAATGTGAGGAAGTGATCAAAATTATATAATTTTAATTAAAATATCAATAGAAAACAAGGCAAAATTTTTGTCAAATTGCTTTTGAGTGGTGAGTGATTTTCCTTTTTATAATCTCAAAATTTTCTACAATTATAAGCAGGAAAAACTAAGTTTAAAACATTACTGAAAATACATTTAATACATCAAAATTATTAACGGTGCTTTACATGGAGGAAGAATAGAACTTTGGGGAAGGGTGTTTATTCTACAGTATATTTACTCATGTAATTTCAAAAATGAAATTACACTTAAAACAAAAAGAATTTCATGTGAAAGCCATTAATTCACTCCAGTTTTCTCTTAAGAAGCATGTTTTCCAGTAATACTCATTAGTGTCTGTACAATGTGAGAGCCTTGAGGGAATATGTAAGGAATCTTAATAGAGAAACAGTGTCAGGACAATTTACTGAAATATAACATGGGAGGTGATGGTTTGTAGTTTAGTCACTAAGTTGTGTCTGACTCTTGCAACCCCATGGACATAGCCTGCCAGGCTCCTCTGTCCATGGGATTCTCCAGGCAAGAATACTGGAGTGGGTTGCCGTTTCCTTCTCCAGGGGATCTTCCCAACCTAGGAATCGAACTCAGGTCACTTGCATTCCAGGCAGATCCTTTAACAACTGAGCTACGAGACCAGCTCCCAAAACATGCCTTATTATTATTTTTCGGACAGAGCTGTATAAGTCAGACAGGCCAAGATAAATAACAGTCCATTTTGATCTTGGGAATGTTGGACAAGGAGAACTCTGAACTTCCCTCTCCTCCTGCTGGTCATGTCTCAGTCTAGCAGGAGGCTGGGCCACCTCTTCCCACCTCCCCAACACCTACAGGGAGGGTGGGATCCAAACTATCAACACCTGCAGACAGGCACATGCCCTCCCAAAAAAGACTGGCACTACGATTTTTTATTACATTTTTCCCTGCCCTATTGTAGATCCTGATTTTCTAAAATAAGTGTGCTGGGGAAGAAAATATATTATGAAAGAGAAGAATAAAAGAAAGGAAGAGACAGTGAGAATAGCAAAGGTAAAGAAAAACAGGGGTGGTGGGGAGGGGAAGGAGCGATATCAAGGGAAACAAATAGAAGAGAAAAGGGAAGGAGGGGACGTCCCTGGTGGCCTTATGGTTAGGACTTCAGGTTTTCACTGCTGCTGCTAAGTTGCTTCAGTCGTGTCTGACTCTGTGCGACCCCTTAGACGGCAGCCCACCAGGCTCCCCCGTCCCTGGGATTCTCCAGTCAAGAACACTGGAGTGGGTTGCCATTTCCTTCTCCAATGCATGAAAGTGAAAAGTGAAAGTGAAGTC